AATACTAACCTTGTTATGCTTCATCGCCATGGAAAGGGTGGACTCTAGTCTCCTGACTTCCCTGGTGGTGTCCTCCTCTTCCACCACCACAACTTCATCGCCCCGCTTACGGAGGATCCGGACGGCTTGAGGACGAGCTTCCTCACGCTCAATCTCTTCCACTTCATCCTCCTCCTCCGTGCTGGTGGCACCACCAGGGGGCTCGGCGGCTGCACAGCGTGTTCGACCACGCCCTCCGACGCCTCAGGGAGCCCCGTCAGCTCCTCTAGCACCACTGGCTTCTTCGCTCCAGACTTCGACGTGGCATCGGCAACTCCAACATCCACCTCCAAAGACCCGGCGGCTCCTGCCGTTGCCCTGGGCACCGCCGCCGGCTCGTCCACCATCGGTGCCAACCGTTCTCCGCCGCCAAGTCCATCAGTAGCGGTGGTTGACTCCTCCACAAGCCGCTGAGCGCCCGGGGACTCTAGGACGGGGTCTGCCGGCATTGCCTCCGCACCAAGACCAACCCCTAGCTGTTCGCCAGTTTGGACGGATGGACTCAGATCCTCCGTACGCCTCGCTCTGCATTAGATTAGCTCGTCAATCGCTGCAACTATAAAGATCCGACAGCAAGCTAAATCCAAGGAAAAGAAACTTACACGTCGGCCTCCCGATACACGGTTCTGAACCGGCACTACCTCCCCGAGCCCCCAGGCGCGGCTCTGGGGTCAACCCGTGTGCCCTGGGCTAAAGGTCTCATGGCCCCGGCCTTAGGCCTCTCCTTCACCTATCGCTCGGGGACTCCCTTCGCTTGTTGCTCGGGGACTACCTCCCTCCTTCAATTGCACCTCCGCGCGCATGTGTTGTGCGGAGGCGCTTTAGTGCTTGGCTGAGGAGCCACTATAGCCCCGTCGTCATCCAACCACTCAAACATCGCCGCACTCTACATCCGAGTGGTCTAGTCGACGCCAAGTGAAATGCCGCCCGGCTTGCGGGGAGCTGCACCCGCCGTTTTCCTCTTCTTCCGAGCTGGCTCATCTACCACTGCCCTTTTCCCTCGGACATTCTCTGACATGGGGGGGACTCTCTGTCCGACCAGCGTCTGCGCCTCCAGACTTCGACGAGGCTGCTGACAACACCTTCCTCAAGCTGAGTTGTTGGCCAGGCGTCCACTGCCTTCGGCCAATCGCTTCTCGGCATGCTCGAGAAGTACGCCGCTCGTTCCTGCCAATGGATCTTTCCACAAGTGAATTAGTTCACTGCTCGGCAATGGTACATGATAAAAAAGGATCAGGAACAAACAATTGAGATGTTTACCTGAGGAGGTGGGTTCGTACAGTTGAAGGGCCTGGTCTGTCCTGACATGTTGAACGAGGCATTTGGAGCGAATAGCTCTATGGCCCGCTCTACCACATCATCCCTCGTCAGCCTCTCTATCCTCTCTCGGGTGCCGTCGGTGTCCCCCTTGAAGTCAAAGCCCACGTGGGCCCTCTCCTTGTAGGGCTGAACGCGGCGCACTATGAAGCTCGCCGCCACTAGTGCACCGTTCATCTTCATGCCCTTTATTAGACTGAGGAGCTCCTTCACCTGATCCATATCACCACTGCTTGGTTTCTCCAACCAGCTCTTCTAGTTCTCCAAAACATGGTCGACGTCGCAACGGATGGCAGGATGGCTCTGCTTCATGTAGAACCACCTGGCGTTCCACCCCTTCAGCAATGTGTTCAGCGGTACAATGATGTACTCGCCTGCCATCCCATCGCAGAGTTGTAGATACACATCGCCGACCACCCTGGAACCGTCGTCGCCCTTCTTCATCAGCCAGAACAGGTGACGGAAGAGGTTGAAGTGGGGAAGAACTCCGAGATACGCCTCACAGAAATGGATAAAGATAAAGATGTGCAAGATGGTGTTTGGGTGGAGATTACACAGACTAACTCTCCAGAACTCCAACAGATCCCTCAAGAAAGGATGAATAGGAAATCCTAACCCACGCCAGAAGTAATCCTCAAATACTACAGCTTCGTCGGTATGAGGCATTGGGTAGGGCTCACCGTTGGCCGGCCGCCATCCGATAGTGACACGGTCCGGAAGAATGCCCGCCTCCACCATCCTGTTGATCTCCACCTCCCCCATGAGCGACGGCACCCACTCATTGTCATGGCTGGCTCCGACGGCCGCCTTCTTGGTTTCCAACTCCCCTCTTCGGCGCCATCTCTTAGATCTGGTTTGGGATTGGAGGTGGAAGCGCGTATGAATCTGGAAGTACGAGGGCTGAGGAGGAAGACGAAGTAGCAAAGTGGCAAAGGTGGGAGCGCAGAGTGCGGTGGTGTAGTTATAAATCACTTCCCCACCTTTCTCATTCGAGGGTTTTTGGGAAACCGCTCCACGATTTGCGCCTCTCTGAATTCTCCGAAACAGCGTGTTGGGCCGTTACCCGGGCTTTCGCGCAACTGCAACCTGTATAGCCCATTTTTTGCCGCAATTTGTTACTGCTCACCGAATATTCACCGATTTCTCCACAATCCATTAAGGCTCAATAACTCCTACTGTATAGCCGTTACTCCGATTTTTTCTCCATAATTTGTTTTCTCCAAGATTTCCACTTGTGGCTCGGGGACTACGTCATCAATACGACTTGGTTCCTCACCACACTGGGGACTTTCTTCTATTCACTGTTGTTTCTGACCTCGGCACCACGTGACAACGTCACCTACTATCAGGCTCGGGGACTAAGTGGGCACACTTCACCTTACGGTGAATGTGCTTTTCTCATCTCGGGGCTACGCCCGGGGACTGGCTACCTGCTCGGTTGGTCTTCTGCTTTTCTTCTACTTTGGACCCTGGCACCACGTGACTGCGTCACCTACTGTTAGGCTCGGGGACTAAGTGGGCACACTTCACCTTACGGTGAGTGTGTTTGCTTTCATTTGGAAGACTCCGCACCTAATGAAATTGAAGAAGGCTATCTCCCTTTCTCATGGTCGGACTCTAAGTGGGCACACTTGGTCCACTACGAAGAAATTTTCGATTTTGAACTTGAGCTCCTTACATCCTTATCGCAAGCCTTACTTGGGATACACTGCTCGACGACGGTTCACAACTGCTCGACAACTCATCACGGTGGTCGGACCATGAGTTTGACTGCTCGACTTTGTTCGCACCTACTCGGACAAGTTCAAGATGGCGTTGCACAACGGATATAAGGAGCTCGGGGACTAGCTGTGGGGGGTACGACCCCCGATACCCACGGTAGGACACCTCCTAGGGGTGGCCCAGCCCACAAGACGAAGCCTTACGGAGCACGGTGCTGCTCGGCGCGTCCCGCAAGACATCGGGAAGATATCCTGAAGATACTACAAGATATGTTAGATACGTATGATCCCATGATTCATGTAATCTGTTATTACTTTTCGGTTATCTCCTAGATCTAACCGACTTATAACCCTGCCCCCAGACTATATAAGGCAGGCAGGGACCCCCTCCGAACACATGCAATATCGTACGATAGCCAATAGAATCCAATAGACCACTGGAGTAGGGTATTACGTCGTGCAGATGGTCCGAACCTGTCTAACTCTTGTGTCTCTGTTGCATTCTTATTCTCGATTACACGCATCTTTGCCGATCAATCTACCTTCGTGAGATACCCCTCGGAGGACTACCGATGATATTCTATCGGCACTACTCCCTGGGAAGGTAGGAAATTTTTTTCCATATATATATATATATAGCTGGTTATAAAATAACTTATTCTGTAGCCACTTTGAGTTACGATAATTACTATATTAATTTACGAGATTATAGTAACTTCATACTAAGTGGTTTACTATAACGTTATGGTAAATATCTCCATGTGTTATAGTAACCCAACTATCGTAAATATGTATTGACATTATCGTAAATTAGTATATAAAATTATCGTAAATGGAGGTGGCTATGCAACTAACTATAGAATAACTTATTATATAGCCACTTTGAGTTACAATAATTATTATGTTAATTTACATGATTATAGTAACTCCTTATTAAGTGGTTTACTATAATGTTACGGTAAATATCCCCATGTGTTAAAGTAACATAATTATTGTAAATATGTATTCACTTTATCGTAAATTAAGTATAAAAAATATCGTAAATGGAGATCGCTACAAAATAACTTATTCTATAGCTAGCTACTGAATATATCTATCCGGTAAGGCTATTCTACGGCTGTCCACATAATAACTTATTCTATGGCCACCTTGATTTACGATAATATTTGTATCAATTTACAATAATAACAATACACATTTACGATACATGGATTACTATGATTCAAGATGATACTTATCATAATGCTATAGTAAATCACTTACAAAGGAGTTACCATAATCTTATAAATTAGTATAGTAATTATCGTAACTCAAAGTGGTCACATAATAACTTATTCTGCGGTCAGCTACAGAACAGTACGTATATAGAACTACTACCTCGTAGCTGGCTATAAAATAACTTATTCTATAGCCACTTTGAGTTACGATAATTACTATGTTAATTTATGAGATTATAGTAATTCCTTACTAAGTGGTTTACTCTAATATTATGGTAAATATCCCATGTGTTATAGTAACCCAACTATCGTAAATATGTATTGACATTATCGTAAATTAATATATAAAATTATCGTAAATAGAGATGGCTACAGAATAACTTATTTTTGTAGCTGACTACTGAATATACTCTCTCTGTGTCTCTGCCTCTGTGTGTGTATATATAGAGAGAGCGCGCCCTGAAACTCATCAGCGCTACGTACTACAAGGTTCGGCGAGCTTCGCTGTGCGCAGGGGCCGCTACTTACTACAAGGTAGAGCCCCCGAGCTCCATTCTGTGCAGGCGCTGCCGCTACATACTACAAGGCATTGTAATAATACAGTAATAAATAACCACATGATGATCAACTCGTAAAAGAAGCTCATGAGCTGAACGAATTATATTGGGATGACGTAAAAGAAGTTAAAGGAAGAAGAATGATTGCACTAGCAACACTGGCAGTGGCCATGTTGGCTTTGCCAGCTGACAGGAAGCTCTGCGGGCCGCCTCCATCGCCACAATTGCCAAAGAGTGATCTGTCGTCCCCATAACTCAGCGACGCGACGCCACCTCCCGGGAGCGACATTCTCCACTGCCACCACCTTGACGTCGCTTTCTCGGGAGCGATCATCACCGCCACCACCTTCGTGACGTTCACTAACAACTTGTCCCGCCTCCGGCCTCAGAAGGCGTGAGTGATCATCACAATCACCGCCGCCACCTTCGTGACCTTCTTCGACCACTCGTCCCGCCTTCGGCCCCAGAAGGCGCGGTTGATCATCACCACATTGACGTGGCAGGAGCTCTACTGTGCACGGGTGCTACGTACTAGAAGCTATATATATAGTCTTGTAAATAAAAGAGCCCTGAAAGTTCACCGGCGCTACATACCAGAAGGGACGGATCTAGCGGTGGGACGGTGGAGGGGGCTCAAGCCCCCCTACCGTCTCTCTGATCCCATGGAGCCCCCTAAAGCTCATTCAAGAATTTTTACCATAGCTGCTTTGAAGAGGAGAGGGTGGAGGTTCAAGATAAGGACTTCAACCCCCAAACTTTTATCCTAAATCCGTCCCTGCAACCTCCTAATTGTAAGGTTCATAAAGACATGTTATTCCCATAAACATCATGAGGTTCTGGTGGCACAACTGATTTTGGATCCTTCATAACCTTTTTACTCTCTCTCTAGCTTCCTGTGTATTGCAAAGCATTATTTTTTTCATGATGAAAAGCGTTAATTTAAAGTTACTATGCTTGTTAACAATAAGCAAACACTAATGAATTTTGGAAACACAATATCAGCATTCAGCCCTATCAAAAAAAAAAAAATATAGTTGTACAGAAACTAATAATCTAGTTAAAGCATAAATACAGGAGCTAATAATCTACACAGTGTTCGGCTGCACTTCTTTTGGCTGTTCTGCACCTACTGCTGCAGGCAGACGCCAACCAGCCTCAGCCCAGCAGCAGCCGCAGCCACCATTTTGAATTCATCCCATTCAATTCAAGAACTGGCGCCAACTCAACAACAGGCAATCAAAAAGTGTCAGGCCATCAAAAACTGGCGCCAACACGTCTCCAGATAACAATACAACATTTCATTTACAAGGCATCCATTTTGAATGAAATGAAGTCAATTTAAACAAAAATGGCAGCACGCCAACAAGGCCATTCAACACTAGGCTCTACAACAGTTTTGCACATAAACAAATAACAGTTCATTAACAAGCCGTTCTAATAACAGTTCATTACAAAACAGGTCCTTACGAGGCCATTCAAATTACAGTTCCTTACAAATAACAGTACACACTACATATGGCATAACTTAAACCTTTTACACAAGCATAAGTGGAGCCTTTACAAAACTTGTAGCCGTTCCAAACTACATGTGAAACAACTACAACAACAGACTGCCATACGCTGCTGCCGATCCATTGCACTACTTGTTGGTCCAGTTAAACTCGATCCAATGCAGGCGGCCCCTCTTGTTTTCATCTTTATGAAGACACATCGATTGATTGGATCCTTGCATACATATAATGCTTTGCGGTACAGATCTGACCCCTTGTAGATACCATCTTGTTCTAAAATCTGGACCACAAGGTCCAGCTCCTCTTGCTCATAGTCATCCAAGTTGGAACTCCAAGCTACTACAGTTTCTGAGATGTCTCTGACATAGTCATCCAAGTTGGCACTTTTCTTCTTTTTCGGAGGGCCGTCCACCACTTGGTCCCTGGTTGGCCTTTTGGAATATATACTAGCCTTGTGATTCATCTTGGCTCGTTTAGTACGCAGGTTGTATTGCCGAGCTGCAGGGGGAGAGCAGGACGATGTCGATGAAGGTGCCATTGTTGCGAACCTTCAGCAGCAGGAGGTGACACTTCTCAGATAGTGTGCTGTAAAACGTAAGGTTTGAATCACTGAAGCATAGGAACAGACTAAAAACACACAAGTAAATTTGCAGTAATGGAAAACTAAAGATAATAGAAGCATAATAGTTGGGAAAGTTAGACTAAAGATAAATTTGCAGTAATGGAAAATTGAAGATAATAGAATCATTGAAGCATAGGAATTGACCGGCTATGTTGTATGGAGCAGAATGTTGGCCTACAAAGATTCGACATGTTCAACAACTGAGTGTTGCAGAGATGTGTATGTTGCAATGGATTTGCGGTCACACAAGAATGGACCAAGTTCGGAACGATGATATACGTGATCACCTAGAGGTAGCACAAATTGAAGAAAAACTTAGTCCAACATCGGTTGAGGTGGTTTGGCCATGTCCAAAGGAGACCTCCAGAGGCACCAGTGCATTATGGAGTCCTAAGCCAAGCTAATAATATGAGAACAGGTAGAGGAAGACCGAAATTGACATAGGGAGGCAATAAAAAGATATTTGAAAGATTGGGATATACCTAGAGATCTATGTTTGAATAGGAGTAATTGGAAAGCAGCTATTGAAGTGCCTGAACCGTGACTTGGGGCTCTTGGTGGGTTTCAACTCTAGTCTACCCCAACATGCTTGGGACTGAAAGGCTATGTTGTTGTTGTTGTTGTAATGTTGGTACTTTTATACTCGCAAATAGGTATACTGCAACATGAGCACAAAAGAGCCAGAAAAGATACCGTGACCAATCTGAGTTAGGGATAGGGAACAACTGCAGGGTTCGAAACCTCGACTGGCATGAAAAATAATGAGTAAATTGCACGACCGGTCCATAAAGTATTGGACGGTTTTCATCTGGGTCCCCAAACTATGAAATCGCGCGTTTGGTTCTCTAATGTATTTAAGTGATCTCATCTAGGTCCACAATAAACATGAGGATGGCTAGAAGTTGATGTGGCTGTCCACGTGGACATAACTTAAGTAGAAAACACTGAGCTGAGCGCCCAACAGTCCCTGGTGCGCCAGCGCAACCTACGACGCGGTGGCTCTGCCAGCCGGCAGTGGGTTCGCCGGTGGCCGTAGAGTGGCCGGCGATCTATGCTATGTGTGGGCGCATACGTTGGCGGCAACGGCGCGACACTCAACGCACCATGGGCGGCGGCCATGGTGGCATAGTTCATCAGCGTGGCGAGGCCGTTCCGGCGAACGAGGGCTAATACAACTGAAAACGAACGGTGGGTGAGCACGAAAGGGCTTACTGCGGACACAGTCGAGGCATCGATTGAGGTGGAGGAAGTCCGAGCAGGGCTGGCCATGTGCGAACCGGCGGGACGGCGGCGTTCCGAGACTAGCACGGCGGCGTCATGTCGACGGCGGTGAGGTTTCTGGCCAAACCAAGGAGAGCATACTAACAAGGAGGTCAAGGGCAGTCCACCGGTGCAAGGAATTGAACTAATTCCAAGGATCGTGACTTACCACAAATTGGCTCGGGATTCGGCAGGGAAATGACCGGCATCGAGGGAAACTTCAAATTCGTCGGCTATAGGTCATGGCTGGCTCTCGATGTGGGCGGGGCGGCTAGGTAACTCCCATGGCTGCTTATTGATAGAAGGAATTGTGTTGACATAATCCGGGCTGTACGAATTTGAAGAACGAAGGAAGCTCTGTTTTCGGCGTCAATGGCTCCGGCAAGGTGACTTGACTGGGCGTGCCGCAACAGCTCGCTGCACGCGAAGGTGGACGTCTTGTGCCCTACATGCCAGTCCTAGCCCCGGCCTCGCCTCGACGCCGTTCGGCTACAAAAGCCACGGATGAACGCCGGGACCGCGCCCAGCCACCATTGTTGCCACGACCGAGCTCGCGGATGGTTGTGTCCTCTCTGCTCATCCCCTTCCTTTTTCTTGCAACGTTTTGGCTCTGCCCTTATGCCACGCACATGCCCTTTGAACAGTTTGGACTAAGGAGGCGCCGTCCGATGGAAACGCCATGTGTCGCCGCCGCCGTCATCTTGAGGTCCACCATGCACGTGAGCAGGCCGCCTCGCTCCTTCTCCGTCGCCGCACCTGCCTTCCGTAGACCCAAGGTAATACCCTAGAGCTCACCGAAGTCGCGAACTCCGTCTTTGTGCCCTGTGTGTTGTGTTCGCAGGAACACTGCCATGTGCTGCTGCTGCCATTGCTGCCCGTGGCCATGGCCATGGCCCCCCGTCAGCTCAGGGTTTTCTATTTAAAAATCATGTCCACGTGGGCGATCATGTCAGCTTCTAACCCTCCTTGTGTCTATTTTGGACCTAGATGAGATCACTTAAATACATTAGGGAGTCCATGCGATTCCGTAGTTTGGAGACCCAAACGAGAAGCCGTCCAATACTTTAAGGACCGGCCACATAATTTACTCAAAAATAATAGAGGCACTACTACCTCTGTGACAGAGCTGCATGGAAACTACTAATGGGAGTTTACATAGCGTGGTTTGATTTGGGACACAAGGAAACAGACCTTGCTCATATACATGAACAGCATTAGAATTTGCATATACAGCTATTGAAAGGGAATAAAGAATTAAAGAGAACCCATATTACCTTCATTGAGTAGTGGTCGCAGAAGAGAAACCTGGAAATCACCAGATCACATATGAAAGAAAAAAGAAGGGTGCATTAATATAGTACACACAAGGCAAAATTTGTTTGTAAAGGAATCGTCAAAGTTGCAGCACAAAATTCATGGCAAAATCAACATCCTCCTTAGAATTTCCAACATCTGAGTTGTCTGCTACTTGGCTAATTCAGATTGAACAAACATTGAGGATGCTGCTCATCTCCTCGCTTGCGACAAGGAAGGCGGGCAAAGGGGCAGCAAAAACAAACCTCAGAAGCATAATAGTTGGGAAAGTTAGACTGTAAAAAAGAAAAGAAGGGTGCACTTATATAGTTCAATTTCAAGGATACAGTACTCCAAAGATTTCACAATTAAATTAAGACTTTCGCTAGACAATAGAAGCATAATAGTTGGGAGAGTTAGACTGTAAAACTTGCAGTAATGGAAAACTAAAGATAATCCCCAACTGAAATTATTGGCAAGGTGCTAGCATGGAAAAGCTATCCCTTTCATGACCCCACAACATTAGCAAGGCAAAATTGATATCCTCCCAGGGCTTATTCTTCTGAAGCGTCTGCAGCATAGTGGTGATTTGGATTTTAAGAAAAATACAAGAGTAAACTCTAATAAGCTAAGGTAAACAAAAATTGACTGTCTAACAAAAGCAATAACTGTGGACAAAGGTAAACGAAATGGACTGCCTAAAAATGTGGTAGAACAACTACATGCAAGGCAAATGCAAGCCTTTCGTGATGTAGTGCCTGTTATGCGAGGCACTTTTGCATCAAGGGAACAGTAGGTAGGGTAGAAAAGGGAAGAAACGAACCTCGACAAACCGGATCCGGCCGCTAGGACTGTGTGAACCACCGAAGAGGATGCGGAGCTGCTCGGATACGGGGCGGTTTGGGCGGCCGTGAAGGTGCCGCGGCTTCTCCGAGTTCAGCGAAGGCCGGATCTGTAGGGGGGCCGCCGGGAGAAGGCCGGACGGCGGCGAGGGGCGACCAGAGGCCTCCGTGCGTATGCGAGTGGGGACTGGGAGAGGTCAGAGGAGAGGACAGAGGCCGGGCAGCAGCTGCATGTAACGCAGCCGAACGGCACGGCTGGGCCAGCCAGCCACCACCAGCAGCAGCCCATAGTTTCACAAAAAAAAAAAACAAAAAAAAAATCGTCCAACAATCTAGTTGTACAGAAACTAGGCAAACTACCGCACCGCAATCTCTATCTCTACTCTTCTACAACTAAAAAGACCCGGAAGTCATCGTAATCGCCCCGCTAATCCCCCGCCCTACGCTAATCTATCGCGCGCTAACCCCACGCCCCGCGCTCGCGTCCGTGGAACCGCTGCCGAGCACGACGCCCAGCTCGTCCTTCCCTGCCCAGCACTCGCGTCCGTGGAACCGCCGGTCCGCCGCCCACCACGACGCCCAGCTCGCCCTTCCCTGCCCCGCGCTCGCGTCCGTGGCTCGCCCTTCCCTCCCGCCCGCACAACCGCAGCTGCTTCGCCCCATCCGAATCCTTTGTTCATTGAGGAAGCGACGGCCGTGGGTTCCCGTGCTCTAAGAAAGAGGCAACGGCGAGGGCGCGGCAGTGGTATCCAGGGAAGGCGGGCTCGGTCTGCCCCACGAGTCCACTTCCTAGACGGCGCGGCGCCCCAGTGCTGGAGGCGGCGAGGCATCCCGGCGGCAGAGGCGGCGCAGGCGTCCGTGCGCGGCCTCCAACCAGGCAACCAGGAGCCGACCAAGGTGACCCTGCCGTCCGCCGCCCTTCCCTGTCCGCCGACTGAGCAGCCGAGCCCGCCCTTCTTCTGCTCCACCGGCTCAAGCCTCAAGGTCATCCTCGCTGGTAAGCGCCTCAACCAGCCCAGCCTCGTCTTTTACATGCTTCCTTTTGCTTCGTCCTGATAATTAGCTGCAGTTTCTGTCGTCTATTGAGAGTATTCCTGCCTCCGCCCTGTATATTTTGGATCTCTTCCCATCGAGCTCACAAACCCAGACTTGCATTGGTCCTGATAATTAGCTGGCATGTATCACTTTTTTAAGGCCAGGCTTATTTGATCTAAAACTTACAAAATTGAATCACCCATTCAAATCCTGACATTACTTTCTGCTGGCCTGGAACTACATCCTTGCTTTGCCGCTTTCTATTCTTATTCCAAGCTAAATGTTCTTCTTTCAGCCCCATGAGTTTGTTGTTGGGTAATGTTTATAACAATATTTGGAATAAGTGAAAGATTTTAGATTTTTTTACAAGTTTGTTCTTCACTTCAAAGTTCAGACCTAATGCTTATCTGAAGCAGAATAGTACTTCTCAGCTTCATCCATGGTAATAACTGATGCATATATATTTGGGGCAAAAACAAAAGAGTGCCAGAGCAGCAGCAAGTCCATATTATCACAAGACAAGATTATGCTGACTGCAAAAAAGACCTTTTAATGTTTTCATGTAACAAAAAAACTACATATTTCTATGGCTTTATTAACTACAACTTTAACTACTCTACGTCAGACCTTTTGATGAAGGTTGTGACATGTACATAAGGACATTTGACTCTACATTATACCTGTAGGTTACAGGAGCCTATGTGTTTTAGCACAAATCTGTTGCCTGTATATTTAAAATAAGTTTCTGGATGTGTACCGCTTTTATGGAGCCTTAACCAACTACTAATTTCTATCAAATTTTAAATCTTGGTGATCTATGTCAATTTTATATACACTTCAATGATCCTGTTTTGCCTTCTCTTTTTGGTTGACACAGATTTAGGAATGAACTATACCGGATACAAATGGTCAGCTGAAATCGCTGCCCCTGAATAAGGATAAGAACCAGTATGCATCACTAGCTGTCTACTCCCCACCCTCTTTGTTTTTTTTTATTTAAGATGGCATCTTTGGAGCAGTAAAAGCCTGAATTTGCATGTTCACCTGATGATAATTTATGGTTGGGCGCAGCATTTGCCTGTTCAGAAGAGACCATTTGTGAAATATGAACTCAAGAGACTTAATGCTGAATGGCCTAAGGAGGTGGTAAAAAGGCAGAAGAAATATAATAGGAAGGTGAGATACTTGATCTTTGGTTCAATTCATCCACAATCAGGCATTTGTTAGTACCTTCTCCTTCTGAACATCACTGCAGACTATTGTATGGTTATTTCTGTTTGTACTTATGAAAATAAGCACTACAGTTCTATTATATCATCCTCTTTCTAAGAAAAATTATATCATGAGAAACTCTACATGAAAATAAATGCTTCCCTGATTGATTTTCCCCCTTCAAATGATTGATTTTTTCAGAGGGAAAACTAGGCTGTACTAGACAGACTGGTATACTAGATGTTTCCTTCAGAGTTTCAGGATGACAAATTGGGAAAATTGCTGTTACTTGCATCATTAGTCTCAGTATTAGTAGATGTCAGTTTTGTTAAATACGTATGTGTTGTGCGAATATGCAAGGTTTGAACTGAAAAACATTATTTTAGTGAACTAAAAAATTATCCTGCTCACTAATAGGGAAACACTACACAGAAAAACAGTTAATAAAATAAAACTCAGCAGCTATTCGTTGGCTGACAACTGCATTGTCCAAAGAAACAAGAGATGTTGTCCGACGGCCATTGTAATGAAAGAATCAAGGGAGGGAAAGAATTACAGGGAGATTGATCGGCCACAAGAAAGCATCACCAGCCTTGCTTCAACTGTATGATCATCCTGTCATCCTTGCTAGAAGCTAGATTAGTGGATATATTAATGACTATGTGCAAGTACAGCCAAAACACACGTTGGTCAATCCTCAGCTTCACAAGCCAAAGCTCCTGTTGCAGAAACGGCTGTTCCCGCTATTAAAGGAGGTCCAGCTCCAGGTTGGGTCAAACTGTCTTATATTTGGAAATGGTTTGCCTGGCCCCTGTCTTTTTTTCTGTGGAGATTATATGTGCTTGCTTTACCAGTAACATACTATTGTTGATTGAAACATGACGCTGCATCACGTTTCAATGCTTTAGTATTTTTGTTGCAAACAGAATTGCAGTGGACAAAGCTATGTGTGTGACTTTACCCATTGCTCGGGCCACACTACGGTGTTCGGGTACTATTTTGTTCTATGAATGAAGGAAGGGTAACCAATTTCTTTTTTCAGGTGAACATCACAGCAACAGAGAAAGCTGAGTTTAGGATCTCAGTTCAGGCAAGCACGTCGGCACCAGTATTGCATCAGGTGAACATGTAAGTACCTAATCAGCTAGCCTTTATCTTCTTTGTTCAGTTGCAGAAGATAGATCAGTACTGGTTCTCCCTTGGTGTCAATTCATCACCTAGATAGAGGCGTGAGTTCTTGGTGCCGCTCCCAAAAAGCATTTATCTGACCAGCATTTGTTTCCTTTGCTCGGTTTAAACAGCAAGCAGAGGTCTCGTAGTTTGTTTGTAAATATAAGCACAATGGATTAATGCAAACTCCTCACTTTGGTTAGGATTCGGAGCTTGTGAATTCGTGTTGAGCCTGAACTTTGGTTAGGATTTGTACCAAGATGAACATCTGTTGTCTTGATATATATGTTATTGCATTAGCGCTAATTCAATCGTGTCGCTGGTAATTATAGTGTCGATCTTCTCAGCTCTGGGAGCGATGACATCACCGAGTCCAAGGTTCGCTTCCTATCAGAAACTCTTCAACTCTGTTTTCATATTCTTTGTATTCTTCAACTAATGGTTACCATATTAGACGACTGGTTAAATTGTGGGTAAATTCAATGGAAAATAATGCCTCTCCTGCACCATTGGGTGACAAGACTAACACTACTAATGGAGGTAACCAAAATACACAAGCAATTACCATATTCAATTCAACGTATTGTTTATATTATAAATGATAATCAATAGTATATGGATGTAACACTGTCGGAAGTGATGCTGGACAACGCAAGAGAGAAAGAGATAAGGCTCGATGGCACGCAATGTCTCAAGAGAAAAGGGACGAAAAAAAAAAAAAAATCGTCGAGAAGCATATAAAAGAAGAAAGGAGCAACACCTACGTATCCAAACTACCAATGGTTGTATACTAGAAACGTTGGTGAATAATAATATAGATATTACTATTGATATTTCTTATATGTGATGTGTCACAATTGGTAGATGGTCAGGATGCAGCAAATAAGGAAAATATGGAACCTAATGGAACAGATGATTGATTGCATAGGAATGATTCACTCCATGCAAATAACATTGATGATATAGTTACATCCAATCGGTTACCAGGTAATTAAATTGTTGTTTATGTGGCACCAACGCCTACATTTTTGTGTTGGTGAATATATCAGTAGCTTTATGTACAATGAGAGGATCACTGACGGATATCTGGTGTGTCCTGGTTGTCCTGCTAATATTTTGACTCAAACACAATGTCACACCCAATTTTAAGGATAAAATAGGATGCATAATCTATGTGCGTCCAGAGATCAATCACACACATAAGCTGATAAATTATAGAAAGTATCATCACAAGTATTTATTACATCACGAATAATATCACATAGTCTTCACATAAATATAGCGAAAATATAAAGATAACTCTCTCGCGGAAGCTCCATAGCACAGGGATGTCAACTGGTTGACCACAAGACTAGTAATCCTCAAGGAAGTCTGTCATTATCATAGCAATCTGTTACCTATCCGGGATTTTTATCCAAGTAATGAAAATAAACAAGCGTAAGTACATCTCGTACTCAACAAGTATAACATGGGGTTCACGAGGTTCAAAGGCTTGACACAGGTTTAACAGCATTTAGCTTTTAGTTGTCATAATTTTAGCATAAAAGTAGCAGCAAGTTGTCATAATCCCAAAGTAAACACATGATCAATGCAAACATGATTAATGAATAGCATAAACAAGTCATTAATAGGGATCATCTATTCCATAAGGGTTTCAAGGCCACTCATGACCGTGAGCATGGTTGATATACCAGTTTTACACTCTTCAGAGGTTGTACACTTTCACTGTGAGTCATGATTACTCATACGTCTGGGTTTATAACTTTCAAAACACTTTCAAGGTGAGCAGACAGGGTACGCTATGAAGCCTTTCAAAGGTTCGTCTAACAAGTTAGGGTCGCTAGGTTTTCAATTGGCAAACAGATGTAGAGCTCCCCTTCTAAATGGCACACTCAGCGTAGGCTATACACATAAAGGTAACCTCTAACGAAAAGGTCCTTGTACTGAGCTAAAGCCAGAGCCATGTGACCCTCATAGTTGTACTGTAAGTCCCGGATAATCACTTACAGATAAGTCCTTAGGGAGGGGAATCTGAAGCATTTAGAAAGTAGCTAAATACTCCAGCCCCTTTTTCCAAGTTGCTAAAAAATCATGTTTTAATGTTTATTGCATATATCATTAGTCAAGTTACAAGATCATGGTTTAGTTGAGCACTAGCAAAAGCTACCCAATGCATATCCCATAGGTGACAAGGTATAAGTCCAATTCTAGGAAATCCTTAAATATAACAAGGAGACACATGCACATGAATTAAGTGTATTAAGGTTAATAGAAAATAAGGATGATCCCATGCTATACTTGCCTTGATCAAAGTGTTCCTGCTGATCCTACTTGTCAAAGTAGTACTCTTAATCACCCACGAATTGCTCACCGTCTATATTCGATCATCACAGCAACATACAAGCATCTAGAAGTAATCATACATAGCAAACAAAGGCTATATATTAGAACAGTACACCAACAACATAAAATCAAGATGAAAAGTTTATAAAACGAATCTACGTCTCGCTATGAACACACAGACGCGAAGATCACGAAAATCGAAGCTATAATAAAGAAGTTATGAATTAAACAAGATTTCCTTTAATAAAATAATAGATTAAATCTAACCTCGAATTTCAAAAGTTGAAAACATGTTTAACAGTAGGATGAACATGTAGATTACTCAATTATGAATCTAACGCAACTTGAACGGATCAAAACAAAGTTAAAACGAAGTTTTTATAAGCAAAACAATATCAGTGGCAATACTATAAATAGATGGATCTGATTTTTGGAATAAAAATAAACAAATTTGAATTTTAAAACGAATCTGAGGACAGCGGGTTCAAATATAAAGAACCCGAGGGGCTCTTTAGCAAATCGGACAGATGAAGGGGTATGATGAAATCTGATCCGTTGGATCTAATCTGGACGGTCTAGATTAGAAGAAGGAGGGGAAGGCGTTGCCGGCGGCGAGTTGGACGACGGCACCATGGCCGGAAACGGCCTAACCTCGCCGGAGTTCGTCGTTTTCGATGTTTTGGACATCATCGGTCAAAAATAAAACACGGGGAGCAAGAGCGGAGCACAGCGAACTTGATGAAGGCATCGAAGTGGGCTGACGTGGCACTGCAGCGACGCGGGGCTAAGCGGGGCGGCTCGGGTACGGCGGTGAGACTACGGCGAGCTGGCACCGGTGGTAGAGAATGAGGGAGAGGGCAAAGGCGGTACTCAAGGCATCCTTACCTCACGAAGATGTTCAGTAGCGCGGTCATGGTGGCGAAGAAGCAGCGACGCGACGAAACAAACTCGGCGGCGGTGGCTTAGGGTTGCGGCGACGCTGTGGTCTCTGGGAACGGCAGCGGCATGCTCTCGGGCTAGATAGGGAGATGGCGCGGGCGTAGGGCGCTATTTAAGGGGCCATGGCACTGGTGTGGAGGTTTGGAAAACCAGACATTTTCCTGACTATAGGCTTCTAATGGGTTGGGTGTTACAATTGGTCTCCCTTAGACACCAAACCCCAACATGAGGAAAGGAGGCTACTATCGTTGCGATGGCCCATAGCCCTTCATAGGGAGAGGAGACCCCACATCGTCATCTTGCGTCCCCCAAGCTCACCCTCCTCCCTCACTCATTGAGATTGTGTGATGCCAAGTCTATGATTCATGGGTGTTACAGGAGAGTACCTAGAAAAAGCTCCACAAAAGTATCTCCAGCAGTCCACTAATACCATTTCTCTCATCCACATAAAAATGTCATATTTGAGGACATGAAGCTATTTTCTTATTCCAGCAGCCCCCAATAGTCCTTTTATTATTGGCGGCCACTAAAAAAACTCATCTCCTTTTAAATAAAGAGGAGTTGCATCTCCCCCACATTAGCATTGGACCCATAAAAACGGTTGCTTCTTCTTCTCTTTGCCCACCACCAATGCTGGTTGGAGCTCGTTCGCCACACATGCCGAAGCTCACACGCTGTGCTCCCTCACTAGTGCTCACTACCAAATAGAGAGTGGCTTTCCTTTCTCATCACTATATGCTCCTATGCTAGCTTCCATGGCCACTGTCTAGATAGCACATCCCTGATCACCATGGCCACTGCCGTTCGAGCTCCCAAACATTCATCATCTTCTCCGCCCAAGGATTCATCATCTTCTGAAACCTCCCAGCACGAGAGATGCACAAGGCCAGCCAAAGCTTTTCACCAAAGGATGTATCCACCCTAGACTTCATCATCTTCTCCACATAGGGGGCAACTGTGGCGGATCCATACATTGGCTCACCAGCGGTGCATGGTCATGGGGTCATGGTCTCCATGGTTGTCAGTAGTTGGTGCACAGATTTGGATCCATGTGTGGACTGGGAATCTGGGAGGCCAAGGGAGAGATGCTCGGTGGGGGAAGGTGAGAAAAATTAGAGATATGAGGCCGCGCCGCCTAGGCGGCCTCCCAAGGTGTCCACGTAATGTTCTATTTAGTTGGTGCGTTAGATACAAATTCTACGGCCTTGATGAAATACCTCACAACCGGCATCCATCCATGCATTCAACCACGGCCATGGGTAGGTGAAGCAAGTGGATGCATTCAATGAAGCACAAAAATCGGACAAGCATGCATGCACTTGCTGAGTGCGATCATTCATGTCACTCATTGGTGTAAATCAGAAGTAGGTGGACACATTCAATGCATCTGTCCATTGAATACAAGATTTTGGCCATGTCGCGGCTAATTTGTAAGATTGATTTGTTGTGAGAGAAAACACTATTCTCATGGCTAAAAAGTAGGGCTGATTCTGGCTGATAATCTCAAGCGAACAGGGCCTTTACCATCAACGGACGAAAAACAAGTGGGCACTTCTTACCAAAGATAAAAACAAGTGGGCATTTCTTACCACGAACGAAAAACAAACAAGTGGGCACTTCGAGACCATCCATCCAGTGCCAATGGGCATTTGTACTTCCATATTCATAAATGAGGTTGTTGCACCTAATAATAGCTGGTACGCTCACTACTCCTTCAGCTTCGCATGCGTATATAACCGTGTGCCATCCCTTGCTCCATCGCACACACTCCTCCCAACATTTGCATATGTCCTCAGCGTAGTTCGTACCTGAGGAATCCGCACTCCTCCCAACATTTCCCAACATTTGCAGATGTCCTAGGTGTAGTTCATACCTGAGGAAGCCATAGGAACACCTGCATAGGTCCAATAAATTTTATCAAGCATAGCTAACGGCCTAAGAACATGTTGCATGCCAAGAACCATAGGATAGATCTGTGCTGTGGTCTCGCACGATGAATTAATTAGCATGTGATTATGGTTGTAACGATATGTAAGTAACACATGACTTTGATCCTGACAAGCGCCATCTCCACACGTGTGTGTTGGTGTGACTGCTGGTGTCCATTTACCACGTTTGCTTTTTATTCTGCTCACTTTGGGATCGGATGGCTATGGCTCTGATCTGGATAGCCTAAACTGATGAGGCAACTCCACCTCAAGACAAACAAGATTCACGGCTGCAACCATGTTGGATCAACGTAGTTCACATAACATCATTTTGTCTAATGTTCAGTACATGTTCACCACGTTATTGTTATACTTGATGAGTTTTAAATGGTTCCTTGTAATTGTATAATGTTAGCACATAATACAGCAGCAGAGGCACTAGGAACATGATGTTAGCTACAGGCGAATGGGCCTTGGCAAAACTGCCCTTAACTCAATTGTGCATGTCTCAGGGTTCAAACTTATGGCGAAATTTCAGCCAGAATTCACAAAATATGGTGTTTTTGAGGTGACCAAAATTATAGATTTTGGTTTAAAAATACCGTGTTCACATGTTAAATAGGATTTGTGTCAACAAAAATACATAAGTCAGTATCTAGGCTAGAGGAAAGTTTCCACCTCCACCTTTCAGAAAGTGAAAGGATCAAACCTCATATCATCCCCTACCCCATGAAATCTAAGGACTATAAAATCAAT